AAAATTAAAAAAAAAAAAATTATAAAGACCTGGGGACGTAGCTCAGTATGAAGGTCCTGGGTTAAATCCCCAGTACTACCAAAAACAAAAATGAGGAGAAAAGCATTCAAAGGCTTTCAACAGAAAGAATTGATAAATGCTTAAGGATAGGAAAAAGCTCTGATTTGATCTATGCACACTGAATACATATATCAGATTATCACACTGTATCCCATAGTTATGAACAACTATTATGTGTATCAATAAAAAATATTAAGCCCGACTTGGCGATACACACACACACCTAAATCCTGGCACCCAGGAGGCTGAGGCAGGCAGATCACTTTCAGTTCAAGGCTAGCCTGAACTACATAGCAAAACCGTCTCAAAGAATCAAAAAGAAAATTCAAAGGCACACAACCTTCCAGTAGGAGCTTCTTCCTACGCCTCTGAATCAGCACACCCCAAAGTAGTCACTGTTGTGACGTCCCTCACCCTGAGTTAGCTGTGCCTGTCTGGAGATGTTTCTATTCGACAGGGCTCATGACTAATGCTCAAGAGACTGTGTCTGCTAAGCACTGTGGGTCTGAATTCTCAGAAGTGAATGAGGCAGCACCTGTTTCTTGTTCCCATTTCACAGATGAGGGAACGGGCTCAGGGAGGGGCCCATCACTGGCCTGTGGTGTTCAGGGCCAGCAGACTCTGAAGTCCTGACCCCTCTGTCTCCCCTGGGCCATCTGGAAGATGTCACACTGCCAGTGAAAAAGAGAAAGAGACAGAGCCTGGCACTCAGAGCTGCTTTCGCACATGGCTTATTGTCCAAGACTCAGTTCCTCTGAGGTTGGGTGAGGCCTCCCAGGCCACCAGCAGCCCCCCCCCCGGGGGGCTGCTGAGGAGAAACAACAGGCCCTGGGGCATAGGCTGGCTTCCCAGATGTGTTTGCTGTGTGACTTTGGACAAGTTGCTTCTTTGAAGGTGTGTCGTCAGCTGTTAAAAGAAAATTCACATTCCTGTACATAGTTAAGGAAGTAAAGTTGAGAGACGTCACTGTATAAATTACCACTGTTATATTTTAAGCCTTTTTATTGGAAAATTATATCCAAATATAGAAATCACATACAACAAACAAGGTCCTTAGGGAGTTATTATGAGGTGAACCACTTGTACCCAGGAGCCAGAACAAGAACTGGGGGCTCCTCCGGTGTCCCACCCAGCCCAGCCTGGTTTTTACAGCATGCCTTTGTGTTTCTTTCTAGTTTTATGGCTCAAGTGCACATCTCTAGACAGTAGTGGGTGCTCTTGTCCATGTAAAAAAAAAACTTGGGCTTTTGGGTTTCTAATGGCTGCCACTTGATCCCGATCACTTCTGTTTCCCGACGTTTATCTTGTGCAGGGCAATTGACCTGAAGAGTTTTGCAAAGTCTCAACCCTCCTGTGATTTTCTTCCCATCCATTTCCCTCTCCAGCTCCCTCCTTCCCCCTGCTTGGCTTCTGAGTATCGTAGAGTTGGGTTGTGGTCTTGAGTCTGCTACTTTCTGGTGATCTTAGACAAGTGACTTAACCTCTCTGGACATCTTTCCTCGCCTGGCAAATGAGAGGGTGACCCAGTGATCTCTGAGGACCTTCTAGTTTACTCAGGCTCCCCTTTCAAGCACCAGGCTCCTGCTCCACCATTTCTTTCCCTCTACCTTTCTCCCTCCCAACCCCTCTCTCTCCCCCTCTCCCACCTCTCACTTTGAGACAGGGTCTTGCTATGTAGTTCAGGGTGGTCTCAAAATCACTGTGTAGCCCTGGCTAGCCTCAAACTCACAGCAATCCTCCTGCCTCAGCCTCCTGAGTGCTGGGATTACAGACATGTGCCATGCCCCGGAATAGTCTTTTCTTTACTGAAGGAAAAGAACACTGGGTACAAGTCAGAAAGATCTGGCATGGAATCCAGTTTGAACTGGATTTATCTCTATGAATTTGGCAAATTACTTCTGAGCTTCCACTTTCCCATGTAAAATGAGGATCCTGGTACCTAATACGTGAAATTAGGATGAGGCGGCTGCAATGAGATCATGTGTGTGAAGCATGTAGAGCCTGGCATCTCATATGTGCTACATAGATATTGAGTCTTATTTTTGTTCTTACTTTCATTACCTAGGGTTATTGACTGGCTGCTCGCTCTGTGCCAAGCCCTGTGTCAAGTGTCTTAAAATGTATTGACTCTTGTCGAGAGTGGTGGTACACACCTGTAATCCTGAGGCTTGGGAGGCTGAGGCAGAAGGATTGCCACAAGTTCAAGGCCAGCGTGGCCTACACAGTGAGTTCAAGACCACCCTGAACTACAAAGCAAGACCTTGTCTCAAAAAAACAAACAGAAAAAAAAAAAAAAAAGCGAAGTCAAAACGATCATGGAAGGGCCGAGGATTTAGCTCAGTGGCACTGTGCCTACCTTGCAAGTGCAAGGTCCCAAGCTCTATGCCCAGTGTGGGAAGCCGGGGATGACCATGGAGGGTGAATGATTTGAATTGATTCGGGACATGGAGGCAGCCACAACAGCACGAGTAAGGATGCTCACAAAAGGGGACCCCCGGAGCTGCTTCAGAAAGGAGCAAGAGTGGTGGGAGAAGGGCATTTGAAGTGAGGAGGAGCATTTTCAGGGGGGTTAATGGCAACGTGTCTTTCACTGTGACAGCCATTGTTTTGGAGACAGGGCCCCCCTATGTAGTCCAGGTTGGCCTTGGACTCATTATATAGCCCAAGCTGGAGCTGAACTCACAGCAATCCTCCTGTTTCAGCCTCCCAAATGATGGGATGACAAGTATGTACCACCATACCTGACTATTATGGTAAATTTTTTACATTTAAGCATTTTGTTTTGTTTTGAGAAATGGTCTCAATATGTAGTTCAGGCTGACCTTGAAGTCTCGGCAATCATCCTGCCTCAGCCTCCCGAGTGCTGGGGTCATAGGCATTTGCCACCATGCCCGACTTATTTAAGCGTTTTTTAAACTAACTATTCCACCATATTTTTTAATCACATTATATTAAATGTGGGGGGGGTGTACTGCAGATGGGGGTGTATGTACCTATGTTTATAAACCCCAGTTACCACCAGACCAGCTCTGCACCCTAGGACAAACTACCAGGGCTCACGAGGGCCTTGAAGTCCTTTATCTATATGAGGGTGCTTTCTGACCTCAAAGGCAACTGTGAGGACAAATCACGGACGTGAGGTTCTCAGCCAACGCTCTGCAGTTATGCAGGAAGGGTGTGTGTTAGGCATTTTAAGAGAGTTGGGCATAACTTGGCACTGTTGAGTCCCTGACTACTGAGACTGTCAATGTCTGCCTCCCTGAGGCTGCAGAGCTTGCCCTGTTGTGCCAAGGACCCCAGCCTGCTGTGGTCAGAAGAACCTCGGTCATTTTCTCCAGCCGAGTGTCCAAGGCCCAGGGGTGGTCGGGACCTGCTCAGGACACCCCCAGCACCCTGCCGGCTCTTCTCTTTCTGGCGTGGCAGGAAAGCCTTGCAGAGCTCAGGGGCTGCTCTGTCCCCTGCCTGCGCCTTGCACCCAGCAAGCGGCAGCAGGCTGAGGACACAGCTGTAGGGGAAAGGTGTGTGCTTTGGCCGGCCACACCATCTGACCCGACGCAAAGTCTGGGCGGCTGCCTAGGGTGGGAATTCCATGTGTCTGAGATGGACCTGGCTGAAGGGGCCTCATCTCAGCCCGCAGACCTGCCTGGCCAGCTGGGCTGGACCTTGGCTCGCCACAGGGTTCAGCCTGGGGATTCCCAGAGGTGGCTGGAAGAGGAGGACGGGATGGCAAATGCTTCCTCGTTTTTATACAATGCTTCTTTTGTAAGTGTGCCTCTCCTCTTATAGAAAGGAATGCTTGCTATTTGTGGAGAATACAAGTAATTAAAGAGGAGAGGACCTGGAGGTGTAGCTCAGTGGCAGAACGCGCTTACCTCGCGTATGGGAGGCCCTGGGCTCCATCCTCAGACCACAGAAAAGGGGAGTGGGTGGGGAATAATGTTTAAACCTATAACTTCAGCGGTTCTGAAACCAAGGGGGCTTTAGTCACACGAACACGCTCACAGCTGTATTCTCACAGTGTACCTGGACACACATCACATAAGTAATCATGTGCATGTAAGCATGTAGCACAGACGGCGCACACAGACCCAATCACACAGAGGACACACTGTGTGCCAGCTGCTCTTAACTCCATCAATGCTAATTCACTTAATCTCACAACCATGGTTGTTGCGAGGTTGGTACCACTATTTCTTCCATTTTGCAGTGGCCATTGCTCCAGAATGCACAGTCTTAAAGGGGACTAAATGGGATTTGAATCCAGATCCATGGGCTTCGTGATTGTGGCTTGAGGTGCTGTGTTTGAGTAGCATGGTAATGAAAGTCCTAGACTCTGTTTCCACACTAACAAGACCCTGGGCACAGATTTTTATTTAAATTCTGGCTCTGTTGACTCTGGGCTTGTTCCTTCACCCTTCTGGGGCACCTTTTGCTTCGTTGGCTGAGGTTGTGTATGCACCACTCTCAGCCCTGGTCCCAGCACATAGTAGGAGCTCTTTAGCTGGGGCTCTGAGGCTTTGAAGGGATAACAGTCAGCAAATACTCTTAGCTGGGTGTGGCGGCCCATGCCTTTAATCCCAGCACTCAGGAGGTTGAGGCAGGAGGATTGTGAGTTCAAGGACAGCCTGAGCTACATAGTGAGACCTTGTCTCAAAAAAAGGAAAAAGATAAAATACTCTCCTGTTGTCAGTTGGTCTTACTATGTCAGAGTCCAGAAGGCAAGGAAAAGTCTCCAGATCTAGGTCTCCCCATGGGGTAGGTCTTTCTTCCTGGGGTTCCTGCCTAACCAAAAGCTCGGCCCCAGACCTGCATACAAGTGGCGGCTGGAACAGCAGGCATGAGGGAGGGAGAGAGCAAAAACCCCATAAATCAGCAGGCAGAATGTCCCTCCCTGTCCGAGTCTGGCTCAGCGGGAAGGGGAGAGGGCTGCGGGGTTGGGGATGCCCGATGCCATCAGCTCTGGGGGCGGCGGTGGGGCGGGGGCCGTTACAGTTGCCGCCCAGTCAGGCAGCCAGGGCGTCTGCAGAGGTCCTCACCTCTTCCACCTCCCGCCGCCCACCGGGGCTGCCAGTGCTGGGTGCGCACCTTCAGGGAGCCCGCTCTCCGGTCGGCCCGGGCCTCTCTCCAACTTTATTCTTTGTGCTCCTCTGTTCGTCTTTTCTGCTCTGTCTCTGTCTCACGCTCTCCCTCTCCTCCCGTTATCTTTATCTTTTCCCCTCATCGTTCATGCTTCCCCCTCTTTTCGTACTTATCTTTCATTCTTTTACTCTGTATCTTTTTCTGTTCACCTTGGGTTACTCTCATGCTCTTTTTCTGTTTCTCACGTGCCTGCTTCTTCGCCTCTGCCGTCCTCAGCCATCCGGTTCTGTGTCTCATTCTCGATCCTGAAGTTGCGGCCCTTGGGGACCAGGTGTGCTGTGGGCGCCCACTGTGCCCCTCGGGCAGGCCGGGAAGCATCTGTCTTGCTGGAGAGATCTGCCGTCCTCCTGGCGGGTGGGACAGGGCCCTGGCTTTGAAGTGGCGGCAGCGTCTCACCCTGGGACCCAGGCTGGATGAGCCATTGTCCGGGTCCTTCTTCTTGCGGACCAACCCACTGAGAGTCCACTAGGTGGGGAGGAAGGAGTACTGGTACCCAGACCACAGCCGGCTCGGGAGCTTTGCCAAGCAAGGCCCCAGGGGCATCCTCTGGGCTGGCAGTGCCCGAGGAGAGTACTCAGGGCGTGGTGCTCTCACGTTCACCCCTTCCAGGCCACTGGCTCTGACTAGAGTGGGAAGACTGTGACCCCCACCAGCTATGCCCCTGCGGCTCAGCCTTGATGCTGCCCAAAGCCACCGTAGCCCTGGCTCAGCCAGAGAGAACAGCTGTGCGGCCCCTGAGTGGCTTACCGGTGCCCCGGTCCCGCAGAAAGCGCCACATCTCTGCCTGGGATATGAATGCTGTGCTGGATTATCACACTTACATTCGGGCCGCCGTGTACCCACCCGCTGCCAACATGCAGTACATGGTAAGTCCCCATGCCCATCCCAGTGCCCCTCCAGCAAATCCCAGCCTGTGGGCTGGAGTGACTGGTGTGGAAGAGCTGGCCTCACTCTCCGGTCTCTCAGTTTGTGGGAGCTGTGCAGCAGGCTGGAATTTGTATGCCCCTCTTTCCAGGCTAGGAAACCGAGGCAAATGCACAGATCCCCCCCATGAACCTGGACAGAGCCGTGTTTACGGGGCACTTTTGGTGCCAGGGCCTACACATAACTCTCTTCCTTCAAGAGGTTCATCTCCACTTTCCAAATTTAAAAACTGACTCTAGAAAATCAATTTGCCCAAAGCCACCCAGTCTGGATTCCACCAGGTCTGCCCAATGGAAAAGTTTTGGCTTTAACCAACACAATACCCAGCCCAAGAATTTTGGCTCCAACTGGGGAGCTGTAGGGGGTGAATGGCTGGAGCTTTCTATGCTATCTTCTCTTGGCCCAGAGATTTAGTGGACACACCCCTCGCCATTCATTTCCTGGAGCTGCCAGGCAGGTTTGGAGCAGGGCAGGCACCAGGGCTCTCAGACTGAGGTAAGACGCAGCTTAACAGCGGGAAAGCCTGGGAAGTCTGCCTTCAAAGCGGCAGGGCCGGTGTCTCTCACCCGGGCCACCTAGAAGCCAGACCCCTGGTGAGGAAGAGGGAATCTTGCTCTTTATCACCGCTCCTCCTGTTTTGAGACAATAGTCCCAAATCAGCCTGGAGAGATAGGCTTCCAGCTCACAGGATTTCTCTGAAGATTGAGGTTTCCAGTCCTCCCCCTATGGGACAGTACATGCTTCTCAGCAGCCACAAGAGATCCCTGGTGTCTCAGGTCCTGCTCCCAGCCGGCACCGGGCCTGGTCAGGGGGTACTGCCTAGAACACCAGGCCATGTCCTTCCCCAAGGGGTATTCATTTGAGGGGTATGACAGAAAATAGTACAAACTGTGGGACCGCACGTGTGTGTGTGTGTGTGTGTGTGTGTGTGTGCGCGCGCGCGCGTGCATGCATGTGTATCTTTAAAATATGCCAGGAGGTAACAGTTGAGGAAGACAGGGGATAGAAGCCAGGATGGTGGGCAGCTTCAGAGGTAGGAGAGCCATTTAATTGTTCACTGATTGACTCATTTATTAACACAGGGACTGGCACATAGAAGGCCCCTCATTTTTCACATGACACATTTACTGAGCACCACTGTTGTACGTGCAGCCCTCACCAGAAACAGTATCTAATGGTCGTGTGTGGCATGGACAGACAGGAAGCTGTCTCCCCAAGGGTTCAGGGAGGCCGACAAGATTCTTAGCAAGCCCCTTCCCTCAGATTACGCTCTTGCTCTGCTCTCTTTCAAAGACTGGGAGTCAGACAAGCCTGGGGGATGTTTGGGCCCCTCTCTGAGGCCTTTTCTTCCTCACCAGCTGACCCCTGCCCACAGAACAGGCATCTGACTAAGCACCCCTCACCTCCAAGAAAGCCTGGGTCCAGGTCCCTGAAACATGGCCGGGGAAGGCAATGATTCATGGCTTGTTTGAGATCTCATCCCTCAGAAATATGGTTCAATATTTGCTGAATGAATAAACAATATCTCAGAGGATCCCAGCATGGGAAGTGAGCTAGTATATATATATAAATTTTATATATATATATATAAATTATAAAACCATGAAGAAGGATGAGGAGCATATTTTATGGATGCTGAAGTAGGATAATCAGTGAGATAGCCTATCTTGTTGAGTGGGGAGAATAAGGTCAGGGCAGAGTTTCAGGCGTGCTGTCACCTGTCAGAGTGCCTGTGTCCCTAAATGTGAGGGTGTGCGCTATGGATACTTCTGCAAGTGAATGAACACAACGTGATGATGTCCCTGGGGGAGGGTACAGAGTAGCCATGGGGACAGTGCTGGGGAGAGACGAGGGACTGTCCACTTGTCCTCCCTGGATAGCCTACATTTTGAATTGGTATGTTTTCATTTTGAAAAAAAAAAATTGTTTTTTGGTTTTGGGGTTTTTTCTTTTTGACAGTCTCGCTATGTAGTTCGGGCTGTCTTTGAACTCACTGTACAGCCCAGGCTGGCCTTGAACTCTCGGTGATCCTCATGCCTCAGCCTCCTGAGTGCTGGGATTACAGGCGTGTGCCACCATGCCCGGAACAATTAAAATGTTTGACGCTTCCATAAAGCCATTTTGAAAGTACAATAATACAACTTTTAAATCAGTCCTTTTCGCATCACCCTGGGCTAAGTCACTTCTAAGGACTGCCGAGAACTCCTGGACAAACACTTGGGACCCTGCTCAGAGCCAAGGGCCTCTGGCATGAGGTCCAGGAAGGGAAAGAGGTGTTGAGGTTCAGCTCTGGGACGCACTCGTGCTTGACCTTGAAGGCACAGGCCTCGTGTAAGCCCCGTCTTCTAACCTGTCAGTGAGCTCGCTGAAGAGTCCAGAAGGGCGCCAGGCACAAGTGTGTCTCTTTCTCCTCCCGGTGAGTTCCTGCCTTTCTTTTCTCCAGGTCTGGGATGAGCGGCTGGCCAAGTCTGCTAAGGCATGGGCCACCCAATGCATCTGGGACCATGGCCCCTCACACCGGATGAAATTCTTGGGTCAGAACCTCTCTGTCTATTCTGACCAGTGAGTACCACCCCTCAGTCATTCAACAAACATACATCAAGCACATCAAGCACAACCCTGAATTGGGGCCTCTGTTTGGCAGTGAAATACAATGGAGAACAAGGCGGAAAAACTCCCTGTCCACGGGAGCCTATTCTAGTTAGGAGAGACACGTGAAACAGGGAAAACAAACTCGCTTCCAGAGTATTTGGGGAGCGAGGGGCGCAAAGTGAAGACCCGTACATAGGATGGGCTGGGAGCAGAAGCAGGTAGATGGGTGCATCAGGCCCAAGGGTGTCCACCCTGAGGCCAAGAACGGTGAGCCCACCCCTCCAGCCAGCTCTTCTCTCTCCTTACGGCTCCGGAGTCAGAACTAGGGGTCCTGAGTTTGATCTGTGTGGCCTGGGGAAGTGTGTTCCATGTTCTGGACCTTCGTGTCCCAGTCCATAGACCAGGGTGTTGGCCCAGCTCAGAGCTTTCCAGACTTGTGGATTTCATAGGCCAGTAAAATTTCCAAAAGGCATTTACAAGACAGCCATGCCACTGACGCATTTTTATTTTGCTAAATAAGGACGTTAGAAAAACACCCTTCTTCCCCTCTTTGCCTCTAGCTGAAGGACAGGGGGAGGCCGGGGTGAACCTAGGCCCTGAACATCCCCGCCACATCACTGACTCCTGGGGCAGTGCCGTGAATGCTCCTCCGTGCCCTCAGCCAAGGGTCCTGTGTCCTCTCCCAGCCAGGCCATGGCCGCCCCTGGGAGGCTCATAGTGAAAGCAAAACAGTGTCAGGATCAAAGATGAGAACCATGAGTTGTGAATCACAAGTGTGAGTTCTCTCAGATTTCACCCCTTATTGGGCTTTTTGAATATCTGTGTTTCTGTCTAATGTGGCCAATTGAAAAAAACCCTCATAGCCAGACGTGGTGGCTCATGCCTACAATCCCAGCACTCGGGAGGCTGAGGCAGGAGGATCACTGTTGAGTTCGAGGCCAGCCTGGGCTACATAGTGAGTGCCAGGTCAGTCTCAACTACACAGTGAGACCCTGTCTCAAAAAACAAACAAAAAAGAAAAAAACCCTCGAGTCCAGGCAGCTGGCTCTTTGGCCTGTGGAGTTTGTGGATGGACATCCCAAGTGTCCGCCCTTCCCCACCTCCATCTCAGAGGCCTCGGAGAAGGTCCAAAGAGCTCCCCTGCCTGAGGTGTCCCCTGCCTGGCCTCAAGTGCCGTGACAGGCACTCATGCTTTACTGTGCACTTACTATATGCCAGGCACCGGCACGCTCTCTGCATGGTTCACTCCTGGCCTTCAGAACATACCTGTAAGGTGAGTGCTGCTGTCCTCATCCTTGATTTATAGATGAGGAATCACAGGGAGGGGAAGTGAAGTAATTCACCCCAGGTCACTGAGCAAGTTGGTGGCAGTTGGTGGCAGAGGTACTTTTCCACTCTCCCCCAGCTTCTTCCTTGTTCCCGGTCTCCCCAGGTTCAGCTCCATAGTGGATCTTGTGAAGTTTTGGTCTGACGAGAAACAGTATTACTTATTTCCGGTCCCGAGCGAATGCACCCCCGCACTGTCCCTGGCGCTGCAGTGGCCCTATCTGCTACCACTACACCCAGGTACATCTCTGCCAGGGCTTGGGGGCATGCAAAACAATCCCTGGCACCCTCTGAATGGGAAGGATGTAGCCAGGCATGGTGGTGCACACCTGAAATCCCTGCACTCAGGAGGCTGAGGCAGGAGGATCGCTGTGAGTTCGAGACCAGCCTGGGCTACATAGTGAGTTCCAGGTCAGTCTCAACTACATAGTGAGACCCTGTCTCAAAAAAGCTAAAAAAAAAAAAAAAAAAAAAAAAAAAAAAATCTACATTTGTGACCCTCTACAAAATGTGACACCTAAACCAAATATCCTTCCTAACTTTCCACACGATATTATCACCTCCATTTTGCTAGTGAAGGCACAGTTCCCATAACAGACAAAGTCACAGAGCAGGTGACACTGAATGCTAGTTCAAGTCTGACTCCAAAGTTTACTCTGAAATTTTTCTTTCTTTTTTTTGGGGGGGGGTACCGGGGATCAAACTTGGGACCTTGTACTTGAAAGGCAGATGGTGGAACCACTGAGCTAAATTCCCAGCCCCAAAGTTTACTCTGATACAACAAAATTTGGAAGGGTGATCACTAAGAAAAAGAAGAAGAAAAAAAGAAAACACATAGAACATTATAAAAAAAATATGAACTTGTATCACCTGTGGTATGGCTAAATGTTGGTTCATAAAACTTTTGTTCTGTTTTGTGTTTTGAGACAGGGTCTCACTGTGTGGTCCAGGCTGGCCTTGAACTCACAGCAATTCTCCTGACTTATCTTTTTATTTGTTTGCTTGTTTGTTTGTTTTGAGGCAGGGTCTCACTATGTAGTTGAGACTGACCTGGAGCTCACTATGTAGCCCAGGCTGGTCTCGAACTCACAGCCATCCCTGCCTTATCTTTTTGGGGACTCACGGCAATCCTCCTGCCTCAGCTGCCTGAGGGTTGGGATAGCAGGTGTGCGCCACCACCATGCCCAGCTTGGTTCATAAAACTTTTTTGTGTGTTCCGGGGATAAAACATGCTAAGCACATGCTCTGCCACTGAGCAGCATCCTCCAGCCCCGGTTTATAAAACTTCCGTTTTGGTTGTGTACATGCACCGGTCAACAATATGAAATGTACTTATTCTTGTTGTCACTGCAGTGAAAAAAAAAAAGCGTAAGAAACATTGTATCACAACATAGACGACGCCAGCTCAGGCAGACTGCTGCTCCCCAAGACCTCACCCATCCCAGGGGCCACCGACCCCAGGCACCTGCCCCTTCTCAGCCCGCCCTGTGTCTCTGCCTCCTCAGATGGTGTGGGCCTCCTCCAACCGGGGGGCTGTGCCATCCACACCTGCGGCAGCCTCAACGTGTGGGGAAAGACCTTGTACCGGGCGGTATACCTGGTCTGCAACTACGCCATGAAGTAAGTACCAGGCTGGGGTGGGGGCAGGAGGGGCATCTTGCAAATTCAGGGAAAGACAAGCACAATATCCCTCCTTTCTCCTGCTGAGTAATGGCGGGGTTAGAGGAGTTGGGTAAGTTTAGGGAGTCAATTCACAGTCTTCTTTTCTTTGCTCAATTCAGAGTCAGTTGGGAGAAAGTGGACAAAGACAGGTGGGAAGGTGACAACACTGAGGCAGTGCAGGGCACAGGATGTAGCTTAGCTGCCCCCTCCAGCCCAGAGGGCTCACAAATGCCTCACAATTGAATTAAACCTGGGCACCGGTGCTAGGCAGTGTTGGACGAACAAGCCTCTGCTCATAAGCACAGGGCCAGCCCCTCTATGCTCAGCCTAAGAGATAACCAGGCTGGGTGTGGGGGCACACATCTGTAGTCTCAGTACTCTGGGAGGCTGAGGCAGGAGAATCACAAACCCAGCCTGGGTGGTTTAGTGATTTAGTGAAACCCTGTCTCAAAAGAATGAAAAGAAGGATTGGGATGTAACTCATTGCAAAGGTCCTGGGTTCAATCCCCACTATTGATAAAATCATTTGAGCAAGAATACCTGGTTCCCATCAGCAGGGAGATCCCAGACTGGAGGGATAAGCTGAGCATGTGCAGCTCCTCCTCCCAAACTGGCCAATCAGCTTGATGGGAGGGAAGTGAGGCACCATCTTCTTACAAGTCTCTTGGAAACCTAGGGGAGAGAGTATGGAAGTTCCAGTCCAATGTAGTCTACAGATTTGTGAATATTACAGATTCTCATACAAAACAACAATTTCTAAGTTAGCACAAACTTTAGAACTTCAAAGTCAACAATAATAACCACATTTTAGGCTCACATAGACCTTGATCATTTGCAAAATGCTTCCACCTTATTAACTCTGAAAAAACAAAAGAAAGAAGTAAAGAAAAAGGGGAAGAGCCAGGTGTGGTGGCACATGCCAGTAATCCCAGCACTCAGGAGGCTAAGGCAGGAGAATGGTGCGAATTCAAGGCCAGTTTAGGCTACATAGTGAGTTCAAAACTAGCCTAAACTGCATAGCCAGACCCTGTCTCCAAAAACAAACAAGAAATGTGATTTCTACTTAACTTGTTGATACTTGTTTCTTCTATTTGCAAAATGGGGGTGAAATAGTACTTGTGGGACTATTCATCGAGGTCACTCTGGTCATGTCCCTGGGCTCATAATAAATAGGGAACATTTATTGGTTCTTTTTGTTATTAGCAGATATAGCTCTATGCCCCATCTCTACCATGTGCACACTGAGGGCCCTGAGAAAATCTTTCTTTCCTGGGCCTCTGCCTGCCTTGCAAGCGCAATGTGGGCCTGAGTTCAATCCCCAGTAAAAAAAAAAAAGAAAAAGAAAATCATTCTGTCTTACAAGTCTGGTCTCCTCTGCTAGGTTTAATACTACTGGGCTCACACCATCAAGATACAAAATGTGGGGACGGGGATTTAGCTCAGTGGTTCTGCTGCTGCCGCCTTGCTGCCTGCCTCGAAAGCGCAAGGACCCAAGGCGGGAGGCGGGTATGGTAATGTGCTTGCTTGCAGAGTAAATGAGGCCAGGAGCCCTCAAGGATGGAAATAGACCTTATTCATTTCTACCTCTTTCTATTGCAGTGATTTCAATACTTTTTGTTTTTAAAGCAAAGCTGTTTTTTTTTCCAAGTGGTTAAACAAAACAAGAACCATTCTGATTTCACACGCACTCCTCGTGGTCCCCTTTCCCTGCTCCTAAACTCCTGAGAGCTCCTTTTGAACCCTGTGGACCGGTGGCAGATGGCACCCATCCTGTGTCCCTGCAAGCTGCAGCGGTGGTGGAGGAATGAAAGTGTCCTGTTAGGGAACCAGAAGTGCACGTTCCTCTGAGAATTTGGGCTGACTTTGCTAAGGCTAGGCAGTAATCACTTTTGTTTGGAGGGGAAATGATTCCACTGTGGATCCCAAGGAACAGATGTCTGTGGTGTGAGAAATAGGCTTTGGGACTTGTAAAGATACCCATACCACAGCCAGTAGTGAGACTGAAGTAGTAGCAGCAAAAGCTGGGAGTTTTATTTTTTAGGCCTTGAGGAAGAAAGAGAGAAAATTAAACTGCATAGACAGAGGTGGAGAAGCAAGCAGGGGAAGGTGAAAGTGTGTAAGTTGGAGCCATGTGGTACCAGGACAGGCTGCATGTCTGACCTAAAGTTGTGGAAGGGGTTCTCTAAGCCAGTCTGCAAACTCTAGCCCATGTTCAACTGTGGTCCGTGGCCTGTTTTTAAATAAAGTTTTATTGAAACATAGCCACATCTTTCCTTCACATGTTCTCTACAGCTGCTTTCATGTCATAAAGACAATTAGGCCAGCAATGTTTACTATCTGGTTCTTTACATAAAAAGTTTGCAAGCTGGGAGTGGTGGTGCAGACCTATAATTCCAGCCCTCTGGGAAGCTGAGGCAGTCTGGGAAATTCCTCAGCAACTCGGTTGAGACCCTGACTCAAAATCTTAAAGCATATAGAAAGGACTGGAGATGTAGTTCAGTGTAAAGGTCCTGAGTTCAATGCTCAGTATAACTTTTAAAAAATGATAAAAGTATAATTCATAAGCAGCACACCTATAATCCCAGTCCTCGGGAACTCAGGCAGGAGTATCACTACACAGTGAATTCCAGGCCAGACTGAACTACATAGCAAGAACCTGTCTCAAAAACAACAAAACTAGATACAACTCACATGTGACACAACCTGCCAATGGGTTAAATCACATTCCTAATATTTAATTTCAATAAAATATGTCATTTTAACCACATTAGGTGTACAACTCTGGTGTTAATTACAATTGCAATCCTAGCCATCATTTCTAGAACTTTTTCATCAACCCACAGCGAAGCTCTAAAACCATGAAGCAATAACTCTCCACCCCTCCTTGCCCAAAAGCTGGGGGTCTTCTGAGAGGATTAATTCCAGAGCAGGTTTCAGATAAGGTCCTGAGGACACTAACAACAGCAACAGCTATGAGGCCTGATGGGCTGGTCCCACCACTGAATTATGCTCTCTTCTGCACAGAGCACCTAAGTTACAAGATGTTTTAGGGCATTTCATATAATTTTCACAGGTACTGTTTTATTTTATTTCCTTACTTATTTGCTTATGGAACACCGGGGATCGCACTCAAGACCTTGCATTTGCAGGGCATGTACAGTGCCACTCAGCTGCATCCCAGGTCCTCGTTTATTTTATTCAGAAGATAAAATCGAGTTTCAAGAAATGGGGTAACAGGTTGGGGATGTAGCTCAATGGTACAGCACTTGCCTGGCATATGCAAGGCCTGGGTTCTATCCTGAGTACTGGGGAAAAAGAAAAGGAAAAAAAAAAAGGAAATGGCTTTGCTTGTCACCAGGATCAGAACTCAAGACCAGAAACTCGGCTCAGAACTCAGGTTTGTCTCCTGCAAGGGAAATGGAAAAATAGAAAAAGGATTTTCCACGGCCGGGGATTTAGCTCAGAGGTGCTGCACCTGCCTGAGCTCCAAGGTCCTAAGTTCGATCCATGGTACCAAGAAACAAAAAAGAAAAAGGATTTTCCAGGTGCCACACCGCATGTATCCATACTCAGCTCTGTCTCCAGTTCACCGTGTCCCTGTGAAGGGAGTGGAGACTTCTGTCGCTTTTGCAGATGAAGACACCAAAGCTTACAGATGTGACAAAGCCAGTGAACTGCATTGCTGAGACCTGGAAATAACACTGTGCTGTCTCCTAACGCTGCTTCCCTGGGACCTTTTCTTTTCCAGGGCAACTGGATCGGCGAGGCGCCCTACAAGATGGGGACCCCTTGCTCCGCCTGCCCACCCAGCTATGGAGGCATGTGCACAAACATGTGCTTCCCGGGGCTCCAACTCCAAAGCGCTCCAGTAGCTAGGAACCCTCCCGGCGGGCGCTTGGGGACACCGCTAGAGGGGCTTGGCCCTCCAAGAATCCCTCCGCAGTGATAGCATCAAGGAGTAATTGTTTTTCACCGATGCGGTTTCCCCTCCTACATTCCCTTTTCTATAGGTCCTGCGTGTGTCAGAAGGCAGGGATTTCCTGGCCTGCTCTCTTTCCTTAGTTACATCTTTCTTTTGTGTGGCCCTCTTGGAAAGACCTGCATCTCTAATTAGCTTGACGCTCTGAGGGTCAGGGCTGCCTGGATCAGTGCTGGCAGCTTGGTTCGGTGCCTGTCCGTCCAATGAGAGTCATCTGTTAAACAGTCTTTCCTCTGAAATCCGCCTTCACTTGTCCAATGCCAGCCAACGCAGGCAGCCTTTGAGGGCTTGTGGTTCCCTCCCTGAATTGAACACATTTTTTTTTTCTGAGCTTGCAGGACTGACAAGCAAAAACCAAAGCTGCCCAGGGGGTGCTATTTCTGTGCTTGCCCTTTTCAGTCTCTGGATCACTCTGCCTTTCCCACCGTGGTCTCGCTTGTCTTCCTGTCTACTCTGTCCGCCTCTGTTTTTCCATCTCAGCCTCGTCTCTGATTCTCTCTTTTTCTCCCATACAAACTCCTTCTCATTCCAATAAACCATTTCCCCTCTCCCGGCCCCATCCCACCCAGAGATCATAACACACAGAAGTCCTTTTGTCTGCAGAGATAGTAAAATCTCCTCCCTCAGACCTTGCCCTCCAGCTGGGGCCCACTCCCTGCCTGGCTGGAGAGCGCTCCGATCAAAGATGAAAAACAGGCCCTTTCTGCCGAGTCACCTCAGTCGGTCATCCTAAGCGAAGAAGCCAAGGGTCCGCTCCTGGTCTCTCCCACTCCTGCGGGCCATGACCTGTGCTCCCTGTCAACGCCAATAAAGTCCTTCGAGATTGGATGCAGTGCCTCTTTCTGGTCCCTTCTTCTCTCGGCTCCCAAGAGGGTCGGAAGACAAGGGCAGAGGGTTGGTTGGGTGGGGAAGGCAGGGCAAACCAAGTCACCTGAAGGTGTGGGGGACTAACAGCCAGCCCTGGTATGCAGAGGCTAGATTCCTGTGCTGGTGCATTTGCATGTTAGTAGTCCATCTTGCAGAAGAGAAAAATGGGGCTTAGGGTGAGTACTAATTTATTTTTCCTTTTTTTGGAATGGGGGATCAAACTTGAGACCCTGCGCTTGCAAGGCAGGCAGCAGCACCACTGAGCTAAATCCCCAGCCCCTCCTTACTAATTTCTAAAGCCTGGAAATAAATGAAATAAGAGGACTGGGGATGCTGTTGCAAGTTCATTATTTGCACATATCCTTCCTACTGGGGAGCAGGGGTCCAGGGTCTTTCCTTTTGTAAAACAATGGTGATAGTAAACGTTGGATTTCTAAAACTTATTAATTCCCTTATTTGGGGGCCGAGGGTTTGCCAGTTCTGTGTCAATTTCCCCAAATGTTCTGGAAGTATAAGTGGTGTGAAGCACTCAGAGGCACACAGAATTCAAATTCTCCTTCATCTTCTCCAAAGCTTGTGCTGTTTCAGCACCACGTTTCCTTCCGTGTCCTGAGATAATGACAATGACAACGAGCATTTTTAGCCGCTTAATTAGTACGCTCCTAATATTGTTCAGCAGTATTTTAAGTGGTAAATGTCATTCTTATCTCCATTTGATAGATGTAAAAACTAAGGCTCAAGATGGTTCATTTGAGGTGTGTGGTAGCGCACACCTATGATCCCAGCACTTGGGAGGCTGAGGCAGGAGGATCACCTTTTGTTCAGGACCAGCCTGGACTCCATAGTGAGATTCTGTCTCAAAGACATACAAACAATCCTTAACTGCTCACTCTCCCACCTCTCAGTTAAGAAGAGAATTGTGCAGGGGGAGAGAGACAAGTCAGCAAAAAATGCCTTTGTAGGGTGGGAATGAATTCCAGGCTCAGCATTTCTGACACAGCCTTTGAGAAGAGCTCCAGCCAAAGGACAAATCAGCAAGTTGTGCTTGCTCGTGCTGCCTGTGCCTTGGACACTCAGAGTTGGAGGGGTGAGAATTTGGAAAGAGGGGGTTAAAACTGATACCTGGGATTGTGAGACTGCTGTCCCAGGAGAAGGGGAACTTTCACCACAGGAGTGCTTTTCCTTTTCTCTGTCAGTAACACTTGAGCGGGGCTGGGGATTTACCTCAGTGGTACTGCCACCTGCCTTACAAGTGTAAGGTCCTGAGTTCAATCTCTGGTACAAAAAAAGAAAAGAAAAACAACAACAACAACAAAACACTTAAGGGCCAATGCTATGGCTCAGGGGTAGCATTTTTTTGTTTGTTTGTTTGTTTTTTGAGACTGACCCGGAACTCACTATGTAGCCCAGGCTGGTCTCAACTCACAGCAATCCTCCTGCCTCAGCCTCCCAAGTGCTGGGATTGCAGGTGTGCGCCACCACAACCCTGCATTTGCAGGGCCCTGCGCTCCATCCCCAGCACCACAAAAAGGCACAGCAGCAGCAAACTCAGTTACTAACATTCAAACTCTGTGAGGTGCTATACTTTTTGAAGACTTTCATACCCACACTCACTGGCTCCCTCACTTCAACAACCAAGAATGCTGGCTCTGGAGTCAGTCTGAGTACAAGTCTAACGCAGTGGCTGTGTCTGCTTGCAGCACCTTGGCCTTAGCCATCGATGGGATCACGAGTAGTTTTGCTTCATGAAGTAACTCGGAACGTTATACAGAGGAGTACATGGAAAACACAGGGTCCGCTCTGAGCACAGTGGTTATTAGTAGGGGTTGGGGTGGGCACAGAACTGCTCACACTCAAGGTGGCCCACTGCCTGCATTTGTAAATAAAGTTTTATTGAAACACAACCACGCACATTCACTCATTATTGTCTAGAGCAGTCTTCATGCTGTAGAAACAGACTTGAGGGGCACGGCTCATGGACCCTGAGACGTTTACTATTGGGCCCTTCACCGAAAAAGACTGTTATGCTCTGAGATCCAAAATAGTCTCATATTCCCAGAGATTATCATTCGATAAAAAGAAGATGAATACAAATATTTTATTTGAATGGAAATAAATGTTACCCAGAGAAGAAAAGGGAATTACTGCAAAAGAACACCATCTAACTTGACAGGGCCATCTGCATGCAGTCTGGTAGATCTTGCCACTGAGGGTTTTTGTTTTTGTTTTGTTTCGGTTTTGGTGGTGGAATGAGGGATCAAACCCAGGGCTCCATGCATGCCAGGTAGATGAGGAAGAAACTAGACTATGTCCCCAGGCCTTATAAGACCTTGAGTTTGTGAGAATTATAAGAATTGTACCGTCATCGCATCTGGTTTAGAGGGATGTCTTTTGTTGAAGATGAGAAACTGCTCAGGTTCGGGCAGTAGAGCTAGGAGCGAGTGCGCATGGCAAAGCTGGGTTCTGAAAGAAGACTTCGGTGCAGGAGAGAGGAGCAAGATGACTTACTCTGGGGAGCTAGGCAGGGGCCAAACCATGAACAGGCATGGGGCTAAGGGGCAGCAGAGATTCTAGCACTGGAATGACGGATCAGTTTCCATAGGAGGAGGAAACCACCTTAATGAGGGCCGGAGCAGCTGCTGGGAGAGGGCGTAGGCTATCTCAGCAGCAGTCCAGGCCAGAGATGTGAATGGCCGCTGGGCGTGGTGGCGCACACCTCTATCCTAGCATTTGGGGAAACTGTGGCAGCAGGATCACAAGTTGGAGAGTGAGACCGGGTCTTAAAGTGAAAAGTATAAAGGGCTAGGGATGTAGCTCAGTGTGAAAGCCCTGAGTTCAATCCCTAGTACTGGGGGAAAAAAAATTCAGGGTCTTGAACCTTGTTGGTGGCACTGGAAACAGAGAGGTGGACTGACTTTTGTCGGGGAGGTTAGGCTTTAAGGGTCATCTGAAGGGGAGAAGGGGCAGAGTGCAGATGTGGGTGAACTGGCATCTGTGATGGGGGTCCCGGGGTCTGCTTTAGGCTCCTGGCTTTCTCTGTGAGGAAGGGGGAGTCTTATCCTACTGAGGATGAAAGAGGAAAAGGTTCAAGGAGAGAAGAGAGCTGAGGTGGGGTACAGATGAAGAGGGCAAGGAGTAGGGAAACTGAGGATGCCGGTTCTGGGCAGTTGAAGCCGATGGTCACGAGTTTATGGTGGTCCCAGGAGTCCCTCTGAGTGATTGTTATTTCTAGCTAGTGCTGACTGGGTGCAGACATGAAGAAAGTACAATACTTTGGTTCATCCCAGCTTGGGGTTTTGTCAGCAAAGGAACTGAGAGAGAAGCAAGAAACGAACTAAAAGAATGGGCTGGGAACTTTGAGCCGGACAGGAAGTAAACGGAGGGCAGGAAGAGGCCGCAGGACTAGAAACATGGAAACAGCCTGCGTCTGTCCATCACCCAGGGCCAGGGGTCGTTGTGCAAGTGCCCTGGAAAAAGAGACTGAGCAGAAAGAAATCTATCCTGTAGCTGTTTTCGAGGTGGGGCAGCCCAGGAGGAGGGATTGTATTGTAAAGAAACGAAATGATTTACCAAACTCCACATTGAGAAAATGGCAGAGCTAGGGCTGATTCCTCTGATTTCCAAGTTTGTTCTACTGTGACGAGGACCTTGATGTCAGAATCCCCAAACAGGTTATGAGATCCAACACTCAGACAGACTGGTACTGAAAAGGCCAGGTGGCAGGTGTGTAAGATGTAAGGGAAGAAGCACAGGTCGCCAATGTCAGAGTGCAGTGTCAGCAAGGCGACACTGAGGATGGGGAAGGACCAGACACCCACAGTCCTGGAGTCTGCCCCGTGCTGCTCCCTCGCTCACAGCATCCACCAGTTTGTAATAATAGCAGTGTGTGTGTGTGTGTGTGTGTGTGTGTGTGTGTGATGCTAGGGATGCACCTCAGGTGCTTTGTGCTAGCCAAGCACTCTACCATGAGCTACATCCTCAGCCCCATAATAATATCTTTGATGATCTCTTTAAGGTTCAACTCTTCCATTGGTCTACAAATTCCAAGGGTGCCAGAATGGACATCTGCTTTGCTTATTTCTGTCACTGGAGTCTAGCAC